TATGGTAAACGTATGTTTGTGTGGAAATGCATCTAATGTTTTGATATACATAAAATAAATTGATTTATTAATAAACAATGTCAGTTAAACAAAACAAATTATTGGAAAAATAATAGCTTATGTCTAATAAAAAAATATTTTACAGAAATACTCATTGAATTTATACATTTTATATATATTTTATATTTATGTTTGATTCATCATTTAATCTTTTAAATAAATGGCACGAGTTTGTGAAATACTACAACCTTTCATACATACAATAGTAAAAATATGTAATAGTAAAAATAATAGTTTTGATCATCATGAAATATGATCAAATATCTTTGCTTCTTAGAAATTTAACTTTTAATTTTTTATTTTGAATTAAAATGTATTTTAATAAAAAACATTTTTCATGAATTGTGACGTTAGGCTTAAAAATTTATTTAAAGCATTGATATATTGAAAAGATTGTAAAACTCTATTACTTATTATAGAGTCACGAATCAAATATTGTATAAAAATGAGAGAGAGAGAGAGAGAGAGAGAGAGAAGAGAGAGAGAGAGAGAGAGAGACTACTATTCACTTTGTGTATTGCTTATTATATCGATATATTTTGCAATTTTGCTACAATTTCTTGTATTCATATAAAAGGAAATATGAAAATATGAATCTATAAAATCATTTCTTTATATCTGATATGCATTTTATGTCAATATTTTAATTCTTTGAATATTTTGTGAAATATTTTACAGGAAATATTTACGTAACGCAATATAACGAATATATTGTAATATAAAAATAGTTAATACAGTACTGTATGCACAGTATTTGCCTTAAACTAACATTTTGTATTAGGAGTCACGCTTATTAAAAACGGTAAACGGATTTGAATTATTATTAAAAAGTAAAAATGACCAATTTTATTATTTTATAAATAACTAACATTTTTAATTAGTTACTAATTAATCCATTAAATTTTATAGTATCTTTTATAGGATACAAGATTATTCTATATATTATACAATGTAATTTATAAACACATTTATAAATCTCTAGTGTTAATTATTCAAGTTTAGTTAAATAACATAGTAATTAATTAATGTGATTATTGAAACATGAAAATAAAAGTATAATTTTGAATTTAATTATGAATTAATATATTATACAATATTATAGTATAACCTAATTTAATATAGCATTAAATGGCAAACAAGACAAACCCAAATGACTTTAATTATTAAATATAATCAACTAAATAGCAAAGAAAATAAATACTTGATAAATTGCAAAAATACAATATTTTATAGCGCATCGAGAACAACATTTTAATTGTTTTACAATATTAACTTATTATAATATATATAATATGTATATATAATTGTATAATTAAATTAATTGAATCCTTAATGTTGTTAATAATATAGTTAACAAATGATATTTAACATTTTTAGATATTAATACCATGTGTAAAATGAATAAAATATTTTCTAATTAAATTATTTATTTCAATTATAAAGAAATACTATCGTTAAAATTTAATTATCTTAATATAGTTTGGCGTAGATTTATGATACAATACCGGAAATAATTTATTTTATGCGTTTATTTTTGTTAAAATTTTTATATAAATTAATTATTTACCATTCTTATTATTGTATACATACAGTAGATCTTTAAAATTATCCTATTTTGCGTAAAATGGTGTGTAAAGTATAAATAATTAATCCATTTATAAATTAGATGTAAATAATTTAAATTATATTTTATAAATATTTTAGTTTTACATTTAAACAAGTGTTATGTTTTTATAACAATGTTTGAGTAAAGTAGACAATAGTATGGAAATACTGTCTGTTCCCCGTCTATGCACTGGCAATGGATGGGTACTTATATTTAGTAATCTTTTATATTTGACACACAAATTGATTGTAATATTTATTAAGAAAACCGTGAAATACAATCAACAGTAAATGGTCAATATAAAATATATAAAGCATATAAAGCTGAACTTAACGCAATTTTAACCACAATTCATATAAGAATGTGGTTTATAGGAGAGTTCGGCCACCCCCTCCGCCCCCATCCTATGGGATTTAAAATGGGACCCCACCTTAATACTATGTCCATGGAAAATATTTGGCTTTACTTAAACTTGAAAAGTTTAAGTTAATTTTGTCCATCGAAAGATACTTAACTGTAACTTTAACATGCAAAATACCAAACACAGACATCTATGATACCTCTAATATATCTATTTACCATATTTTGTACGGTATTTATTTAGTCTCTACCCAGTTAGGCCACATGCGCTGTTTGGTTTACATTGTAAGTTAAGTTAAATCTCGTCCACGGAAAGAAACTTACTTTAAAAGTCGGGGCAAAATTCTAACTTTTAAAGTAAAGTTAAAGTCTAGTCCATGCAAAGTATTTTGCCAAAATTTAATCCAAAGTAAAGTTTTTTGACTTTCCATGGATTGACTATAAGTCTATGGCTATAAATGGGACTAGTGTTATCCTATGGGGAAAATTTTCAATGGCTTTCTATGTGATTGCGGATTACAGTAAGTCTATGACATAGATTTAACATGGGCAACGTCCACGTCTATGAACCATGCTAATCCTATCGGCAATGTTATAGGCTATAACTTATAGCTATGGGACTAATGCCAATCCTATGGACTAATGTTAAATCTGTAGACAATCCTAATCTATTCTTTGAGAAACACCCGAATTGTGGTTAATAATATTTATTAAATTTAAGAACTCGCCTTAACGCATAGCATCGCTGTGTGGACCTTGTTTGTTAATATAGGAACTAATTAAGAAATAAATATAAGATACAATTTAATATAATTTATTGAATACAATCTCGTCTATTGTATAGACTTGTTATTTCTTGGTATAAACGAGTGTAATATCGTCTAAGTATTGATATTTATAATAATCATTTATTTTAGGGCTAGTATTCTGTGTGTCATATGGGAAACAATTTAGAGCCAAACCTTCCCATCGCTTACTCCAGAGAAATAATTTGGATCCAAACAAAAGTATTAACAATTTATCAAAATATCCTTTTGGAGAAATCAAATGGAAGTGACATTTCGTTAGATATTCTTCGCCTTTAATATCACAACAATCGCTGTGAGAGTCACTCACACTCTGTATGTGTTGTGTCTGTGAGTGAATGTGTGTTACAATTGGTATTAGAATTGGTATTAGAATTGGTTCAGGAATACAAATGTCTGAATCAAAGAACAAATAAATTTCGAATAAAATTCTTGACTTAAAGTCCTTAATGTAAGTAAACATTGTCTCTAAATCTCAAGCCTGAACTCAAATCTATTTATCTTACTATATATCACATCTATATTACGATTACATATAAAAAGTTTTACTATTTATCACTTCTGGATAGAGAGGGAGGGAGAGAGAGAGAGAGGGAGGGAGAGAGAGAAAGTTGTACAGAAAAAGAAACTAAAAATAAACGAAAATATAAGAAAATAAAGAATATTTTTACAAAAGAAAAATCTCGATTTGATTCATCAAATAATAAATATCTCTCATTCTCTCTCTCTCTCTCTCTCTCTCTCTCTCTCTATTTTTAGTTTCTTTTTCTGTACAACTTTCTCTCTCTCTCTCTCTCTCTCTCTCTCCTTCAAGTGAGTGATTACTAGATTACACAAAGAAAGCTATTCTTTCATTCTCACCATTTTATGAAAACATTTTTATATTTCTCTAAAATCAATCAAAATTATTATATCTAACGAATACTGTCTAAAGTAAAGTGACTTTTAATGGCGAAACACATTCAACCGGTTCTTACCATTAAATTTCTGTTCTTTGAAAAAACCTTAAATTATAGGGAATTGAATTAAATTGGATAAAAGAGTACACTATTGGGGGGTATTATCTTGTTTTTTCCACAACAAATCGCTAATAATAAGCCAACACTTACTGCGAGAATGATTATGCTTTAAGTGGATATCAATTGAAGTTCACAAACATTTCTCTATTTAAACATTAATTAAATTGTTTAACATTTTTTCTTTCTAGTACTCGTGTAAACCGCTTGACTGAATTGTTTTAATAACTCGTGGTGTAGATTAATTATACAAGGATACTATTAATAATAATAAGTATATATTTAAATTTTGTGACACAAATAGCACTGAATATAAGCTAAAGGAGTGGATGGGCTGTTCAGTCATCAGTTCATGAATCCAATGGTGAAATACATGTCTTTTTCCAGAGCTTTAAATATGAATGAATGCGTTTAAGAGAGAGTTAGAAGTGTTGCAAAACATGTGCACACATTAGTGCGGCAACAGAATATCTATCTGGCTATTAATCACGACATCTCCTACTTTGCCACAACCAATATAACTGTGTGTTTGGTTTACCATTATATACAGTATAGTGTGTGTGTGTTTTGTCGCTCCCCAATGAAGTGCACGATATAAAAAAATTAACTAATATTTCAAATCCATCGCCGGATTGTGTGTCTCTCTGTCTCTCCTGGCAAAAAAAATATGTTAAGCACTGGTTATAGTGAGCATCGCATCGACAGCACCACCACTAGTAGTCTACTATGCGTTACGTTAATCGAGAGCACAGGTATGCTGTGTGTGAAGTGTTGGAAGTTTTACCAACACTTGGAGTCAATTCTCAAGTGAATCCAAAATATGGAGATATTGTGCGCCAATATCTGCGGCCAATGACACAGTGATCCGCACGCTATCCGACACAACACACCAGCGGTGCGGCCATGGCGTCCACTACGGGTGCGTCGGCGGCCGGCAATGTGACCGACTTGTTAACTATATTTAGTCGGATCAGTTGGCATTGGGCGCCGGCAGCCCAATTGCACGCCGACCAGGAGCTGGGTCTTAACGGGTCGGCGCTGTCGGCCAACGGGACCGACACGTGGAACACATCCCTGCCATTAGTCGACTGTCAATCAACGCTCAAATGTCTGAACAATTGGCTTAATTACACGCAAAGTGAGAACAACCCAATCGACGACAGAGCCGTTAATTTGTCCAAAAGTGTCGACTCTATGGACGCAAACATATCGGCAAACATCACATTAAGCCCACTCTCCGGCTATCCATTAGAGAACGAGTCATTAAGTCCGACAACAATCGCAACAATACTGACACAGAATAGCACTAAAATAACGCACATTATTCTGGAGCCGGATCTCCGTATTCATCATCCCTTCCTCGCCGTCATTTTGGCCATCATTTGTGTGATCGTTGTCTTCGGAAATACTCTAACAATGCTTAGTGTTTATAGAGAAAGATATTTACATACAGTGACCAACTATTTTGTCGCCTCTCTGGCGGCGGCCGACTGTCTCGTCGGCGCTATTGTTATGCCCTTCTCTGTCGTCCACGAAGTGATGAACAAGTGGTGGATCTTCGGTCAGGACTGGTATTTAAACACTCATATTATTTATTGAAAAAATATTAGTTATTAATGAGATTAGAGATAAAACGATGTCAACAATTCGGTGATAAATGAGTGCCGTTTTTGCCGTTACATTATAAATAGGTGTGATTTATGGCATAGCTTTGATGTATTGGCCAGTTCTGCATCCATTCTCAATCTCTGTGTCATCTCATTAGGTATGCATCCATTAGGCTATCAAACACTGTATATCTACTGTATATCCATAAGTCATATAAAGTTTATTCACTTCTTTTAACAAAAATTAATTGATTGAAAATATATTTATGACTCGCAGACAGGTATTGGGCTATAACTGATCCAATGACATATCCATCGCGAATGACACCCAATAAAGCGGCCATTTTTATAGCATCTCTATGGATCTGTTCGGCGCTCATCTCATTTCCAGCTATTCTCTGGTGGAGAGCCGTCCTAAAGGTAATTGAAATTTAATAATTCAGAGAGAGAGAGAGAGAGAGAGAGAGAGAAAATATATGGAAACAACATATTTATTCATATATAAAATGAAAACAACCATAATTGAAAACTGTTGGGAAACAAAAAAAACCAAACAAAAACACAACCATTTATATTAAACAGAGAGAGAGAGAGAGAGAGAGAGAATTGTTGGAAGAATGAAATGTTTGAAATGCAATAATTTGTAATTTATTTGGCGGTAATGCTATTTGACGTATGGATTGATGTGATGTCTGGCATTAGGAACCGGTGCCGCCATTCCGTTGTCAATTCACAGATGATGTCGGATATCTCGTATTTTCATCGACGATATCATTTTACGGTCCACTCATGGTTATGGTGTTCACATACTATCGCATATATGTTGTCGCCAGCAAACAGACCCGGAGCCTGAAATTGGGGGCCAAACAAATCCACTCATCAGGCGATACGTCCGGTAATAACAATGCAATCACATTACGTATGCATAGAGGAGGCAAAGCTATAGCCAACTCTGCGCTCAATAACTGTCGGCCCAAATATTCCGGCGACTCTTCCGATGAACACAATCAGGATTTCATTACCGCCGACGAGAATGGCTTAGAAAAGTGTTCATCCATTAGAAGCAGAAATATGAAGACTAATTGGTCTGTCGGCAGAAGATTAGCCAAATTAGCCAAAGGTTTAATTTACACTCAATTTATTTCAATTTAAAGAATATATTTTTGTTATTTTTTATTAACAAATTTATTATTAACTTAATATAATTTAATATAATTCTTATATAAATTGCATTCTCTTTCATCTCAATATATTACCCGATGTTTGATTGGATCGAAACACAACAACCGAAATATTTTTTAATATAATATATGGAAACAACATATTTATTCATATATAAAATGAAAACAACCATAATTGAAAACTGTTGGGAAACAAAAAAAACCAAACAAAAACACAACCATTTATATTAAACAGAGAGAAAAGCGGCCAAAACTTTAGGAATAGTAATGGGAGTATTCATCCTCTGTTGGCAAGTATTCCGATATTTTGTTTATATCCCCAGGAAATTGAATATCAAACTTAAGGCTTATTATTCTTATAATATTATTTGATTTGTGAGCAAAAACATCGAGAATAACAACAGAAATAATATAAGATATTGTGTATATATTCATGAAAAGGTTGCCTTTCTTTGTAACAAACATACTAATGGGTATCTGTGCCGAGTCGTGCGTATTTGAACCCGACTTAACCGGATCAGTGGTAACCTGGCTCGGTATGTGTGATATATGTGCTTGGTCATTTTACTTTATATTACATTACATTACTTTAGCTATCTCGTTTATAAAGTTCTGATATAATTGTTATTTATATTCTCATATGCATTACAGTAATATATTTTGAGATCAAAACATTTATTTTTAAATATTGATTCAATTATACAATTATTGAATGGCTTTCCCGTTCGTCCCCTTTATATTCATATCATTTATAATTTTTGAACCAAAAGTAATTTATTATTCAATAGGCTCTGAAAGCAAATAACTATAGTATAGTGAATGTGTGTATTTGGCATAAAACATATGATGTATTGGTTGTAAATGCAGGTTGGTTGAACAGTGCGATGAACCCGGTCATTTACGCGTGTTGGTCGCGGGATTTCAGGCGCGCCTTCCGACGGATCCTATGCTCGTGCTGTACGTCAGCCCACAATCGCCGCAATAATC